ACTCGCCAGAGAGAGACAGATGGTGAGAGGGAAAGTGAGAAGTCATCCCCTAGGGTGGGTGGTCATGCCGCAATCCCTTCTCTTCCATTCTTCTCCCAGGATCTTGGGAGGATGGCCATGCCACAATCCCTTTTCCTTCATTCTCCTCTTGAGATTTTGGGCACGCATGCATATGTGATTGGTGTGTTTCAAGCTGCTGGATGTGGGACTTGAACTGTGGTTGGCCATGTGGGAATCCAGCACCTTAAGCACCATGCCACCTGCTGCTGCAATCCTATTTTTTATTCTCAGTTAATGAGTCTTTAAAGCCAGAAAGGTCCTTAGAGCAAGGATATAGGACAAACTTCTCATTTCATGAGGCCAATAAGGTTAAGTGATTTGTCTAAGGACCATGGAGACCTTTGAAGTTGGACTCAGACTTGTCTTCTAGCTTCATGTCTCGTACATTACACTACCTTGATAATTGCTCATGGAACATTTTTAGTGTCAGATTGGGTGCCTGGTCATTGCCAGTTGGTAATCATTATCCAGTGAGAATGTTATTAGGCTAGGAATGAGAAGATCTGAGTTCCAACCTTCACACAGCTGTGGGTGTGCACGTATGCACACATGTGTGTTGTGTGTATGTGTGTATGTATGTATGTGACCTTTTAGAAGCCTGACCTCTTAACTGGTCCCTGCTTCGGTTTGCCCAGCCCACCACTGGCAAAATCGCAGAGGCTGACCAGTTCTCCTCTACTCCCTTTTGTTTTCCCGTACCAGGTCCAGCTGGCATTGAAGGGTACAGAGGGTAGTATTGACTAGTACTGCTACAAATCCATGGTCTCCAATCGCAATGTCACTCAAAAAACTCTAAATCAACTCCTCCTAAATTCTCCAATAACCTTCCTATCAGTCTTTGTGCTTCTATGTTTGCTCCTTTACAAACCATTTTCCACAATGCAGTTGGAGTTGTCTCTAAACATACACATACCTGGTACCAGCAGGTGGCATGGTGGTTAAGGTGCTGGACTCCCACATGGCCGACTGCAGTTCAAGTCCTGGACCTGGCAGCTTGCTTTCTCACTTTCCCTCTCTGTCTCCCTCTGGTGAGCACATAAGCCCTATAGAAAACTAAATAATAATATTGGTAATAATAATAATAAATCAAATTAAATAAATAATTACTTAAAAAAATACACCCATGTTATGTCACTGCTCACAACCATTAATAGCTTTCTGGGGCCGGTAGGAGGTATGGGGCACTGGATTCCCACATGGCTGACCACAATATGAGTCCCAGACTTGGAGGTTTTCTCATGCTCTCTCTCCCTGTCTCTCTCTGGTCAAGTAAAAAAATAATGATGATGATGATGAAATAAAATTAAATAAATAATTTTTAAAAACCTTTCTGTTGCATTGTGAATAAACTCCAAACTCTGCTCAAGCCTATGAGATCTCGAATGTTCTGGTCCTAACCTCCCTCTGACTCATCTCGGGCCATTCTCCTCTGTGCTCAGGATGCTCTAACCGCACTGGTCCACTCTAGCCCTTCACACATGCCAGGTCTGTCTCTCCTGAGTCCTTAGCTGTGTCCCCATCAGATTCGTATGTTGAAGCCCTAACCCCCAGTGTGGCTGTATTTGGAGGTAAAGACTCAGGAACAAAACTAAAGGAAGTCATAAGGGCTGGGTGCTAATCGGAAAGGATTACTGTCCTTATAAGGAAGAATATTAATACCAAGGGGCCAGGTGGTAGGGTAGTGGTAACACAGATGGGCCAATACAGCAGGTGCCTCTGTACATCCGGTGCCTGTGTCCTTGATCTGGGTTGGCTGCGAGTAGGGGAAGATTATGGCATGAGGACACTGTCGGGGGTACCTGTCTTTCTCCTTATGGAAGAAATAAATAAACTTTAAAAAATGATAACAAAACAAAGTGCTTTCTTGTTCTCTCTCTCTTCCATTCTGTATGCATGGAGAAAAGTGTATGTGAGGACACATCGAAAAGGCAGCTACCTACAAGGGCAGGAAGAGAACATCACACCAGAAACCTAACTTGTTGAGACCTTGATCATAAGACTGTAGCCTCTAGGATTATAAGAAAGTAAACCACGTTGTCATAACCACAGTCTGCAGCATTTCTTTTTTCTTTTGCCAGAGGGTGCATGCACTTGCCAGAGGTGAGAAGCACTCTCCCAATGAGGAATGGACATGTGGCAAAACTTTTCTTCCATTTCTCTTTCCTACTGGGATTTTGGGCATGCACACATATGTGCCTGGCATGTTTCTCAAGCTCCCAGAACCAGGATTTGAATTGCTGCTGAATATCTATGCAAAAGTATGTCATGACTTTTCCAACAACCCAGTATTTCTTTAATGAGCAAGGGAGAGCATGACAACATTCCCAACAGGGTCTTGATGCTGTGATCCTCTCCCAGTTTCAGCCATCCCTGGATCATGGGTATGTGGACATCTGACATATTCAGGGAGGTCTCTGGATAGGAACCAGAACCTTTCTATATAGGCCTTGCAGAACACTGTATTTTACTGCTGCATCATCTCTGGTCTCTTTGCACAGTTTTTTCTTTTTTTAAGAGAGAGACTTTTGCTATAGGGAGCATGCACTTGCCAGGAAGACAGACAGAGACAAATCATGCCCCAAGGGAAATGGCCATGCCACAATCCTTTCTCCTCCATTCTCCTCTAGGGATTTTGGGCATGCACGCACCCAGTGTGACTTCTAAGCTGCAGGGTCTGGGACTCGAACTGCGATCGACTACATGGGAGTCGAGTGATGTAACCCTATGCCATCTGCTGGCCCCTAAGTTTTTCATAAAACACATTTTCGTGAACCTTCTGAAGACTATCTGTATTGCCTCAGTGTTTTGTATATACTATTTCTCTCTGTCTAGAGTCTTGTCTTCTTTCACTTTTCTTTTTCTTTTTTTTTTTTAAATATTTTTTAGATGGAAACCAGCAGTTAGCATAATGGCTATGCCGCTGGACTCCCACGTAGTTGACTGCGGTTGGCGTTCTGAACCCGGTGGCTTAAAACTCGCGTTGGGCGTGTGTGCGTGCGTGCCCAAGATCCTGAGAGGAGAATGGAGGAGAAGGGATTACGGTGTGGCCATTCCCCCTGGGGGTGATTTCTCGCTTTCTATCTCTCTGTCTCCATCTGTCTGGCGTGCATACGCACCATAAGGAAAAACCTCTCAAAAAAAAGAAAAAAAAAAACACACTATGCATGGATTTGAAAATGCTTTTTGTACCAAAATAAACAGCAAATTTGCACTCTTTTCCACAACCGTCTACAAAATCCCTTGCATAGTTTGTTTGCTTGTTTGTTTCTCCTTTTCTTTTCTGAAGTGCTATCTTGACCTAGTTTTAAACCATGCCCCCTGGGGGGTGATTTCTCGCTTTCTGTCTCTATGTCTCTCTCTGTCTGTCTGGCGAGCACACGTGCCCTATAGCGAAAAATCTCTTCAAAAAAAAAGAAAAAAGAAAAAAAAATTTTTTAGAACTATTTATTTAATTTGATTTATTATTATTATTATTATTATTCCATTTGACCAGAGAGAGACAGAGAGAAAGAGGAAGAGAGTGAGAAAGCAAGCTGTCAGGTCTGGGACTCAAACTGTGGTTAGACTTGTGGGAGTCCAGGACTTTGGCCACCAAGCCACCTGTCAGTCTCACCTTCTTTCACTTTTCTGCCTCTCCTTTTTCTACTGCTTTGCTTTTCATGTAATATGTCTTCTAACTAGACCACTCTAGTGAAACATCTTTCCCAAAGGTCATCAATTATTGCCACTTCAATAAAACCAGTCAGTGCTATCTTCATCTTACTGGCCCCTCTATGTTGCCTGTGACACTGCAGACCCCTCAGATGCTGAACAATTTGGCTTTTTGGCTTTGATTCACTGCTCTTTCTAGGTATTTCTCTAACCACTGCTTCCAGATTTCCTTTCTGAGTTGCTTAAATGTTAGCATTTCATTGGATTCCGTCACTGGCCCACAGTTACTTTCTGTGTAATACCCTCTTTGGACAATTTCATCCATTCTCATGGCTTTAACAGTGTATTGATGATTCCCAAATCTACCTCAGACTTCTGATAACTCAGACTTCTAGGGCAGATCTGAATTCCCAGCTGATTGTTGATAATCTCTACTTGGATAGTCCATAAGCATCTTAAATTAAAAATGTCCACAAATGAACTCTTTTCCTTTTTTTTTTTTTTTTACAGTTTTGTTATAGGGTGTGTGTACTTGCCAGAGACAAGGAAAGTGAGAAATCACCTTGCAGTGGGTAAGGCCATGCCACAATTCCTTCTCCACTCTCCTCTTGGGATTTTGGGCATGCATGCATATGGGTCTGGCATGATTTTCAGGCTGCGGGGCCTGGGACTCAAACTGTACAGTTGGCCACGTGGTATCTGGCCACCTTAATCCCCATGACACCTGACTGGCCCTTTATCTTCCCTTTTAAACTACTCTCTCCTTTAAAATTCTCAGTCTCAGGGACCAACAGATGGTATAATAGTTACGTCATTGGACTTCCATGTAGTCAACTGCCGTTCAAGTCCCAAACCCAGAGGCTTCAAACTCAACACCAGGTGCATGTGAGTGTGTGCTGAAAATCTCAAGGGGAGAATGGAGGAGAAGGGATGGCAGTGTGGCTGTCCCCCCTGGGCAGTGATTCCTTGTTTTCTTTCTGTTTCTCTCTGTCTTCCTGGCAAGTGCATATGTCCTAAAGCAAAAATCTCTCTCTCTCTAAAAAAAAAAATAATCTCAGTCTCAGATCATGTCACCCTTTGCCTGAATAAGAAATCTGAGGTTATTCCGGGATTCTCTCTTCTTCCTCACTCATTGCTCATTTCTTTCTCCCTTTGGAGCTCTCATACTAGAGATGAATTAGTTGTAATCTTTGGTTCGTGACACACCTTCATCATTACATTAGTACCTTCGCAATAAGCACATATTCCTGTGGTTTCGTTTCCTCCTCCAGCCAAAGCTACTTACTTACCTTTCCCTCCTTGAAGTGCTTCTTGAGCTGCTTCTGCATGGCGGTCAGCTTCTTGGACTGTACCCCACTGTAGGCCAGCAACATGCCACCAAACTGCCTTTCTGTAATTCTCCCATCCACAGGGTCATGCCGTTCGAACTGGAAGGAAACAGAGAGTATTCTTGGAGTCAAGAAAAGTAAAGTATTTGATGTGGGATGTAGAATAATCAACTGTGTTAGATGGCAGAAAATAGTTAATGATGAATACTACATTTTAAAAAATTTTTAAGAATTATTTTATTTCACTTTATTTATGTATTTGCTTATTTTAATATTGACTAGAGAAGGACAGAGCAAAAGAGAGAAAGATAGAGAGGAAAAGTGAAAAAGCAAGTTACCAGGTCTGGGAATTGAACCATGGTCAGCCATGTGGGAGTCCAGCGCCCCTTAACCACCATGCCACCTGCTGGCCCCAAATATTGTATTTTTGAGCTAGAATTCTCAGCATGATCTAAACAAACTATTAAGTAATGTAAGTTCTATGTTCTAACCACAGATCTGCC